CACAGACTGCCAGACCAGACCCCAAGAGGCAGAAATATGACAGTGATGCCCTATTAAGAGCCTTCATTTACCTCTCACCGCACCTCCTTTTACTTCTCCATGATTTGCGACTCCGCATTTAGGTGTACAGTATGGTCTAGGGTCCATGTGGTGAAACCTGTGAATGGAGGCTCCTATTGGCCGTTGTTTCCAACCGTTGGTTGGTGCCAGACTCCCAGGCGCACAGCGAGCAGCTGGCTGCAATGTGGAGCGGGGTCCGGGATTGCGGGCACTGCGTAGCTGATTCCGCGTCTACAGCTCTCTATTCTTGATTTGGCTCCGAAGCATTCATGCCGCCCTCATGGAGCATAAATGCATCTTGCACATGCCGCACTCATGGAGGTTGAGACGCCTGCCATGTTCAAATGTCGAGAGCTGGGTGTGGGAGCAAATCAAACTGATACTACCGAAGCTGAAGAGCAGACCTGTTTAATCAGCTTGTTCCGCTGTTTGCATGGCTTCCTGTTGATTTCTCCTGGTGTTGGTTATAGCTTGACCGACCCCACAATTCCATCGATCATCCATTGTCATTCTTCAACAATATCAATAGTCCATCACTCAACCCATTATCCCAACGAGCTCAAGTGCGGGAGAAGTGAGGCACTTCTTTGGGAGCCCAACGCGCCTGAGCTGCGGTCTTTGCGGCGGCAGCTGGCGCCAAACGCACGCGCCGCGGCCATCATTTCAGCTGTAGCCTTCGGTAGCCATAGCCGCAGGATCCCTGCAAGGACACATTTGGGCCAATGAACAAATCAACTTTGCCAGCGGACTTGGAGGCTCGCTTTCTAGATGAGATGAGGTGGTTTTTGGATGTATGCTTTAAGGAACTCTGCTAAGGGGAGGCCAACACCCGAAATTTGATGTTCATCCTTTTAACCTTTTGGGCAATGGCTGTTTCGCCAATGACTGGCCAAAAGAGTCTTGCCTTGCACCCGAAGACCAACCGAGCGTTAAGGGGCAGAAACACATCCCGAAATGGATACCCTCGATTTGTTAGCAGGTTGTTTGTTTAAAGTTTTGCGTTGAAGGTATTCAATGTGCTTGTATCATGGTAATAATTTGTGCTGCATGGCCCTGGAAAAGTGAAACCGGTTGCTTCATATCTATGACCTTTTGACATGATATTGCTTCAGCCAGGCTCCCAGAAACAAACTCTGGAATCCGACACCCAAGACCCCTGCTCACAACGATTAGGGCTTAATAGAAATGAAACCTCGACATTGAAACAGTTGCCATTTGAAGATCCCTTGAGAAACATGACTCAGGAGCCAACACCTCTTCAGTCTTAAGTTCCACCTGACGTCCGTTGTCAAAGCCCTTGGTTTTGTCTATGCCTGTGCCCGTGCGCTTGCGTGTGCACCTGCGCTTGTGCTTGTGCTTGGGACAGGTGAATGTGAAGGGACTTCCCTAGTTTTCCCATGTCCCCACTGCAGCCGCATATGTTGACCGCTCATGTAACCGTAGGTGGCACGAATGCTGCCTGATTCAATTCAACGCCAAGCAAAAACCACCCAGGCCGACCACTCCACCACTTCAGCCGCGTTCTGTTTGGAGCCACAGCCAGCAGCAAACTTGAATCAGATGCAACGAAAGCGACGAGTATTTGTTCAGGTGACTAAAGGATTACCAGTCCGTTGCGCCGTAGTATAGTGGGACCCATGAGGGACCCCTGTCCCAACCCAAAAGCTGTGTGCTTCATAGCCATCACAAGGTTTTTTTTGTGTTAGGGGGGTATCTCTCATTGACAGACATGTGTGCATACAGATAAGTTGGCATTTCATGCTTCCAGTTGAGCACTGAGCCTTTCGCGCCGGGTCAAGCTTGTTTAGCTTGGTTTAGTGATGGTTTCAACTCGGAACGGTACGTAAACACAACCGACCATGTTTGGGTTGCCCATTTGTTCTACCCGTTGCCACATTTTCAACAAGCAGCGGACACGGAACCGCTCTAAAAGAGATGCTTCAAGAGACACTTTTTGAGCCAGGCTCCAGGTGAGTTTGGCCAAAGTCCCAAATTACAAAAATATTTGACCGTGACTTTCGTGCATGGTGCAAGGCACAGAAATCCTTGGGTGTTGCCAGGTGTCGTGGTCGTCGCGCGAGACTTGGACGCACAGGTTGCCTGAGTCCATAGCAACACCCCATTTGCATCAGCCACAGGATTTGATTTGATGTCCTCCCCCCATTTGGGAGAACAACCTGTTTTCAGGCACGCTGGCAAGAAGTCGACAATGCCATCTTTCTTCGTGGCAACAAAACTGCGTGAAACACCTTCCCGAGTATCATGCCTGCTACATGTTCGTTTGCGTTCCAGCCGTGGCACGGGTTGAGGGTTATTCCCCCTGCGACTCGCATGTTCTCGGGCTTTGTGGGTGGGTGGCATGGCCCGTGGCCCAAGCCTTTTATCTCAAGCCCTTGACACTGGGATCTTGGGCTCGAGTGACATGCCCTCTTGGTGAGTGAACATGCTCGAGCAAGTGTCAGATGCTTGAGGGGTCCAGGGTTATAGGTAGGGCTCATGTTTGTGCAAAGTGTTTGGTTTGGGTTGCAGGGCAGATGCGCCATTGGTTTCTTTGCAAATCCAGCTTTGGCTTGGAGAGCGAAGGAGATTGTGCAGGATGAGGTTGCGCTTCGGATTTGGATGCTGGTCGTCTTTTTGAGGAGGGCTATTAGGGTTTGGGGTGTGGAACAGGCTTTGTCAAGGCTGCCTGAAGGGGATTCGGGTATGGGATGCTGAAAGTATTTGCTGTACGTGAAGCCTTGTTGTCTTTGCAGACGATTTACAGGGGGCTTACAGCTGGGCTGCATGTTGCGGCAACTGGCCCCAAATAGTGTGCGGAACCAAAATTACGCATGCCTTGCATTCAGGGAATTTGCCAGCCTGTGTGACCATGACTGCCAATGCTCCACTTGCTGCAGACTGATGCTTGCAGCTAGCAGGGTTTCCAGTTCTTGAGGCTTACAGGTGCCTATGGTGCCTTTCAATGCAGACTTGAGTCCTGGAGACTCGATCTTATTCCAATCTAGGGCTCGTGACTATGCAAGCGGGGCACTATGGCCGCGGGCCCGGCCTTCAAAACCAACTCATATGACCCAGTCGGGGCTCGATTGCAGGCTGTTCTACACATTGTGGATCCCCGCACGAACAACCGACCGTGACAGCGATTGGAACCCGACGGCAACAAACATGTTTCACTTCGCGACTCACTGTGAGTTAATAGTCAGCTTGTTCAAAGCCTGATCCCCAACGATTCGCAGTTTGCGGATTGCCCGGTTTTTGGAGTCGCCCCATTTGCGAGGCTCCAGCAGAAGGCTAGAATACAACGTTCTTGGGTAACTCAAGGCGTGTGTTCCGACCAAAAATAGAAGCAGCTTTCCACCGTAGCAATTGTTGAAATGCAGTTTGGGGTACTGTTTGTTCCTTATGAGTTGTCGCTGTATGTTTCCCAGGTTTGGCGACTCAGCCAGTCAAACGTAAGACGCTGGGCCTGAGTTGCCTGATGTTGACCCAACCCTTCCAGGCGCCCCTCAAAGCAAGGAGGCCCCAGTCAACCACCGCCCAGTTCATAACTTGGGGATTATCACAGCGGGGTCAAAATTATTGGGCGTCAACTGATGGCATGTGCTCAGAGCCGTAGCCACAAGGAACATTGTCAATTTGTTTTCCAGACCCTGTAGTTTCCAAGGGACGTGGCTGGGATCAGACTATAGTGCAAAGGCTTTGACGCTAGCAAGAATTCTTACGTCTGCTCTAGTGTACTGGCAAGGGCTTTTTCCTTCAGCTGCTGTGAGCTGAGGGTCCCAACGCACGATGCCTGCGCTGTCTCGGAAATGCAAGAACAAAGTTGTGTGAAAGTAGATGGCACAATTTCCCGTTTTGGATTTATCATGGCCTTTACCTGCACCTGCCAGCATCTTGGGAATTGGGCCACTTTCACCCTGTTGAAGGCCGTTTGCAGGCACAGGAGAAAGGCCACAAATGTTGCGGCACCGGGCTGAATCCAAACTACCAACTACTAGTTACCCTCTCAAAGTCAGGGTTTCATAGAAGACCCCTTTCGCTTTTGATTCCAACATTGTTTTTGGGACGGTACCAGATTTTAGACTTCCCGCTTGCAAGCTGAAGGTCCTTGGCGCTTCCACGACTGGCCCGTGGCCATTGGCAAGGCGCCTTCGCAGGAGGCGCTCTGCAAGGAGGGGGCCCGTCGCGAGGTGTTGCCTCGACGACACCCGGGGCAACAAGTCTCACCTTGGCCGAAAGGGTACAACAGGCTCGCTTTCCAACAATCAACCTGGAAAGTGTTGGAAGGCTGCCATGCTCTAAGGCTTTTTGAGTGCGCTTTCATGATTGCTGGCAAAAAGGATACAGCTTATTGTTTGGACATGGAGGGACATTCCAGCAGCGTTGGTTTACGAGTATACCGCCCCAGTAGAGCCAAGGAAGGTGTAGGACAAGAGAGACTTGCTTGGGTGCGGTTCATGCCAAAACAATGTGTCCAAAAAAATGAAAAAAGCCCTTCGGGGTTGGTTTTGTAGTGAAATCAACAGAAATCGTGCGGGGCTGTGAAAGTTCGAGCGCGCCTGAAGCACAATCTACAATCTGCTCAGGACTTGCAAGATGCTGGCTTCGAGGTCATGAATGTGCCACTCGGCGATTACCCGCAGATCCGGGAGGAACGTTTCGTACATGGCAGGTAAACCAGCCACAAACCATGAGAAAGAACAGGAGTTTTCCAGTTTCCCTACCTAGGGAATCGGCCGTCGCAGTAGGAAGCAAGGAGCTACAAAGGGCGCGCGCCAGAAAGGAGAATCCCAATTAAAAGTCCCAGCCGTTTTTCCTAGGGTGTGGGAGAAGTGCCTTTGGTTCACTTCCTACAAGCTGCTTTCTGAGCCGTGCGAGTCGTGTAGGCGAGTGGCATCGTACCCCTGCGAGATCTCCTCGAGCCGGCGCCTTGCCGGAGATGCGTCGACTGAAAACGGGTTTGGCGGTTTGGGCTAAATTAGGGGACCCATGCTAACAAACGGGCTCCAGCTTGCGCCAAAGTACGGTCATGTGTGGCATCCAAAGAACCTGTTTTAGGGTCACCCAAAAGGCAAGTCAACCGAGCACACTCAACCATACATAAACCGCTGCTGGGATAACTGCTGGAGCTGTGCCAGACAAGGTTGAACTATGCTACATGACTTTTTTGGTAATCGCCTCGTGCTTTACTAGCACTGACGGGATTGCGCTCCAAAACCTCCAAGGTCAAAGTGCAACTTTTCTTGCACAGAGTGTGCTACCAGGCATCTGCCACAAGCCAGCCCCGTTTTCCATGCTTGTTGCTTGGCTTTTGCAGAGCCCAGAGCAGCAACAGAAGGTTGGATGGATGGAACTTGACCCTTCCCTTCGACAACAACGCAAAGACTCGCAAGAAGCCAGGGACAACGTCACCCAGATTCAGCAACCCTTTTCCCGGACCACCAAATATGATGCAACTACAGGCAGCTTTGTGGACATTGTTCTCTCCAAGAAGCCACCATTTGACGCAGACAGACTGGAACATCAAGGGCGCCATGCTACCTCTTTTCTGCCATCCATGAGGAATTTACATTCCTCCAGCTCAAATGACAGACAGCAGACTCAAGTCTCTGGAAGCGTCCAGAGTGCACCGCGCAGCCCTCGTGAAGGACTCCCAGCAATTGGATTTAACAGAACAGATCTGGAGGCCTGCGTCCTCAAGGATGCCATTGTGGCCATGCGCAACCACATGATTTCCAGATTTCTCAATTCTCTAGGAGCTCTTCAAGGCTTGCAAGAGACAACCCCAAGGCCCAGATGGAGCATGACATCTCAGTTAACAGATTTGCTCAACACAGAAGACTCGAATCAACAACTCCTTGCTGAGGGTGCCTGTATACTCTACATACGATTTTCAAGGAGACACACCTGTGTCAACCTGGGCACTTGCATCAGCAAACCCCCTCCATGACCTTAAGCGCAGGATGATACGGCCCTTCTCGCCAACTCCATTCACACGCTACACAAACACTTGCACCCCTACAATTCATGGCGCTCAGATTTGGTATGTCACTCAACCCTGAAAAATCTCAGCTAGTCACGGTCAACTCTTCCCAACCTATGTATTTCTCTCATCTTGTTGCCAACAACACACCTTGTTTTTGCATTTTTTGCGGCGGCACCAACACACTCTCCAACTTGGTCTACGGCACCCCTTCCACCAGATACCTTGGAGCATGGCTCATGCCCAATGGATCCTCCCTCTCAGATACAAGATGCAGGCACAGGGGCGGCAAAGGCTCTTCTCTCAAACACAAGCAAGTGACCATCAAGAGAAAACTCCACGTTTGCATCCAGATCGTCCAATCTATCCCCACTTATTCAGCAGAGTCCCGAATCCCAACTCAAACAGTGTAATACTCCACACTTCAGAGCTCGACGACAAATCCTCGGCATCAAGTCATCCTACTTCCACAGAGTTTCTCCCTCCAACGAACAATGCAAATTCCTCTCTCGGCACGCGCGCCTTCTGTCTTGACTCACTCCAACACAGGCAATTCTACGTTCCGGGCTAAAATATCTCGGCCATATCGGGGGGGTTAATTTCGCTCCTCCAAGTCGACCAAGTCGGCTGTCCTTCACGAGCACAAGCCAGGCTCATGTGTCGGGTTTCCGCTGATTTGTTTTGTGTTGTTTCTCGGGAATGCTCTTCATCATAGCTTGCCAACTAGTCTGCGCTCTCAGTGGTTCGCAGTCTGCGAGTGCATTGCGGTTTGCGCCGGATCCCTTCTTGGAGTTCCCTTGGCGATTGTCTTTGGAACGTCCAGTCGGCCGAGCGCTCTTTGCCTTGCTTTGGGAGTTGTTGTTTCTTGCCCGGTCCCTGCACATGTCACTGCTGCCTTGCTTGTCTTCGCCTGTAGGTTGTTCCGGTTTGCAGACATTGAGTTGACGCTGAGTGCAGGCTGCACACAGCGGTTTCCACTAGGGTCTTAAGAATTAGAACGGGGTTGCGGGTACCATAGAACCACACTTCGTCCTGATCATGGAATAATGCGTGAAATCATTGAGCCCCTTGTAGTGGGCTCCGTTGCCACATATTGAGTGCGACTTAGGTGGCTAGCCTTCTTGGACCACGCTCAGATGACGACATCGAGCACCGAAAGGCGCGGCCTTGGTTCTTGCACAAGGTGCCAAGCCGATTGGCCAGGTAATCCACTGTCTGAAGAAAGCAGGGCCCCTACCACGCCTCAAATCACATTGGGAGAGCAGTGCGTAATGTTGTGAGGAGTCCCTTGTCTGTGATGGGATAGTTTCGCAGATCTCCTGCAAATGCTTTGCTTAGACCACCAAGCTGTTGCAGCATACGACCACAGAATTGCGGCAATTTGATAATCGATTTCGTACGATTATGTTTGATTCCACTTGTTTGGTTTTGAAGAAGATTTTAAACCTGTGACCCCCATTTGATTTTGTGACATGACGTTGCTCTTGTTGCACCTTCCCAAGTTCAAAATTGGCTGGAGCCCTTCTAGCCAGACAGTTGTTGCTACCTGTAGCACGTCTTTTGCGACGATTCGAGAAAGCAGCAGGACGCCAGAGCCATCTTACATTTTGACCCCCCTCAGACTCGATGTCATTGGTATTGCGAATCCGGATTTGGGCACGCATGTCCGCGCTGGCGCAACATATAGGTGTGAAGTCCACACCGTGAGCAACGAAAATGCACACTTTCGCACAGATGGCTGGTTTTGTCCATTGATTTCCTTCGATCGGCATCCAATGATTGGACCGCTCTCATGCCAGGCCTGACACGTCGAGGCCTCAGGTGTCGTGCGGATGCAGAAGCATTTCATCTCATATAACCGTGCTAGGACCCGTTTTCAAGGTACCTGCACTTCCGAGATCGCTTGCTGCTGATCGCAGCGCAGGCCCACGAGAACATTTGGCCTGTTATCATGTCATCACTGCCGCACTTGTTAGCTGGCTGTTAATATGTCATATTTGCAAAGCCTTTTCAACCTGAAAACTTGACGGATTTTGCAGACCAAGCATCTCAAGAGCAGACCACTAGAAGAATATAGGGTTTAGGGGCACCTCAAATATTTGCCGTGGCTGCAGACAAAAAACATATTTCCAGGCATCAGAGTGATCATCGCGTCCAGGCGCCGGCGCCTGCGTGCCGTTGCGCCAAGCGCCGCAGGATGGAGGGTGAGCGCTGCCGGCCCAGGCGGGGTGCCAAGGTTTTTATGTACCACTCCTCTCGTTGGCATTTGAGCCACAATCAAAACCCGGCAACATGAAGCTTAGGGGATAGTCCCAACCATAAATAGTTCTGGGTAGACCATTTTATTGCCAGGGGATGATTGCGACTCATTTGCGTTTCTACCCACGAAGGACACATGGGGATATTCCAAATTAAAGTCCCACCATGTTTCGACAAGATAAATGGTTGCTTGGGACTTTTAAGACCCCCGCCCCGAGCCCCCAGGCTTGTTACGCTCTTGACTGTACCCATCCAGGGTGCAAGTAGATGGCGCAATTCCGTGTGGGTAAGTCAAGGAAAGGACGAACAAAATGGGGCTACTTGCGCCATCTTCCCTCAACTTTAAAGTCGGGACCCCGCAGTCATCAGTTCCTGGACCAACCCGAAATTCGAGCTCAAACAAATTGAGCGAAGGAACTGGGGCCGTTTGCCCTGCCGCAATTCACTTCCTGAGTTCATGGACCTTCAACTTTTAGTGGCAAAGGACAGAGAAGTTTGGTTACTTTTTGTTGGCCCATCGGGAAGCGAGTGCCATGGTGAGCTGTCAGGCCGGCACTGCAGTTGGCGCTGGAGGGCTTCTGGGCTCCGCTGCAAATACTGTCGCCAAATGAGGCCCGGGAGGCGCTGTTGCAGCTGGATGCGTTGCTGGGATCCCATTGGACTCGTGGGTGTCTGCGTTTTGTGTCTTGTGTTTGGTTCACATACTTCATTTGTTTCCCTTTTCCAACAAAGGCCGGTTTGGGCTGTTTGGCTTGACGTTTTTGGGGGAGGCGATGTTTGTTCCTTGTTTTTGAAGGCCTTCAGATTTGGGCAAGGAGTTTGGTCGCAATAGACCGTACAATAGGAGGGCCTTTCAAACCCCACCTTGAGGATCCGTGTGTGGATATTGACACAAAGGTGGTTTTCAGCAGGGCCCGGCCTTTGAGCACCCTCTTTTTGTCTAGGTTGGCCCCTACCCCTGTCCGCTTTCCCGGTCGCATCGCTATTTAAGTTTGGATGGGAGATTTGGGAACCATTGAATTTGTATTTTCTGCAAGTTATGCGCTCCCACCTTGACTCGCTGTTTTGCCAAGACTTCGTATGACGCCAACCGAGGGCAATCCCCAAACACACCACCCGTGTGCCAATGTTTCCGCATAGGTACCTTCACTTGCCCACCCTCTGAGGCATGCTGCCCGGGTGATCGGCCCCAAAGCACCTCGGATTTCTTCGTGCTTCGTGCTTCAGCCCTGGCGATGTCAGCCACTCCGAGTTTGCCCGTTGATTGCAAGCCATTCCAATTTAAACCAGCAGCGCCCAAAGCCTTGTGAAGAAAGATTCGAGGCCGGGTTCTTCTGGCATCCCGCGTAAGAAAACAATGTGGGTTGCGGAAGCTCGCGAAAGGCTTGTGGGTAAAACTAATGCTCCGTGGAAGCTCGACTGTGATGCTGCAACGAAGCTCTGGTTTGGGAATACATCGCGTACTACACTTGTATGGAACAGCTGCGATTTGTGAGCTGGAGCGGCGAAAGTCCGCTTCGTGCGCTAGACTGGAAGGCCACGCAAGCTGTGCGAACGTATGTGGTTTGCGAGAACAAGCGAGAACCTGAGTAGAACCAAAACTCAGTAGGCTTCGGGCACTCCTTAGGATCTGTCTTTCTTTACGAGCTTTTTTGTCGTTTGTTGCTTTGGGACACCAAAGGCCCCCCCTCCCCCGCTTGGAGATTGGAGACAAACCCAAATGACAAGCGTTAGGCCTGCAAGCCCAATGGATCAGAGCAAAACATATCGCGCCATGTGCCATTTGCATAATTTTATGCTCAAACCCATAGAGTGTGTAGAGGCAGAGGTGTAAAGCTAGCGACCGCTCACTGGCCTTTCCCATGACTAATTATCAGTTTGAACGGCGGCGTCCCTTGTATTCTAGAAGAGAAATGTCCCAACCAGCTTCACACAACTTAAGGGGAACTCCAGCAAAATGAATCCAACAGCTGTCACCTTAAGTCACCCTGCCTGGTTTGTAGGTGTGAGCTTCCCGCAAGCCTTAAACCTCAGGCGTTCTAAGCCGGGGATTGGCTTAAGGCCCGGGCCGAAGACCTGCAGGGCGCGCAGCGCTTCAAGGTGCACCTCTTGTATCCCTGGGCGCCTCGGGAATGAACGGAAAGGTCCCTGGCCGGAAATCCAGATCTTGGAAAATTTGTTCCCTTTGATGGTTTGCATGGGTGTTGGGTGGACCACTTCAATGCCAGGCTTTGATCGTGACTGACGCATTGCTGGCTTGCGATTGGGTCTATTCACGGGCCAGGGTTCCCTTCTACAGCAGGAAAACGAGGATCCCCTTCGGATGGGGGAAATGAGCATCATGAGTGTTCAAACTTTGCGCACATTTGGTGCCGGCGGTTTCTGCTTAAGTCTTTCGCCTCAATGATTGATTTCCGAAAACTGCCAGCACCCTATTGGAAGCTGCAATTCTGTGTGAGACCCTAGAATAAACTGTCTTTTGCCGTTCGGCTTCCCTTTACACACAATCAGTCAAATGAGGTTTGCACTTCTGTTTAGACAATATTCGGCAGATGATGTTTGCAAGAGATGTGCAAACAAACTAAAACTCGTTGACTGCAAATCGCCAAAGTCATGGGCCCAGTTGAAGAGGGCGGGCCAATTGTGCCCAAACACCCAGCCCAAAGCCCTTTTTTCGGGACCCGGTCTTCTTCGTGAGGATAGCTTGCAACTGCAGGCGTTTGCCCGCAAAATCCAACTCGAAACAACGGAGAACAGCCAATTGATAATCCAAAGCATCAATCCAAGTTGAGGCTTAGTTCAAACATACTCCAACATACACTGGAAGAAAGGAAGAACACAAAATGGATACCACTGCGGCCATTCCGTTGATTAGCCCACGACGCCCTCATCAAGGGAGTTTACCCTCAGGCAGGAAAACTCGGTTGGCCACAAGGTGCCCTTGACCCTTTTTCCCACCCCTTCAAGCCAACGGCAATGCTCCGGGTTTTTCCCCTTTGCTCCTTTCATGGCCGTGGGTCAACACCAATGGTACCATTTTTGGGTAGGTGCACCACCCATGTTAGTCTATTTTAGTGGGGATTGGGATGTTCACTGGGGGTACGATTTGGGTTGTGAGCCATAGCCAAATGACCAAAATTGAGGGGGGGGTCCGGCGCCGGCTCTCCCAAACGACGCGTTTTTCCTACGTCTCCGAGGCCGCGGCCTTGGTGCGTTGCGAGGGGCTGCTGCGGGCGGCCAGGGAGGCGCTGGGCTCGGAGGATCTGCTGGTCTGGTTCTCCGAGGTGAACGCCAAGGCGGCGGGGAATGGACCAATGGACCGAGGGGCCAAAGGAGCCGCAGGAGCCGCAGGAGCCAAGGAATTCTGCAAATCTGGCAAGCTGGTTTGGGGGGGGGCGGGGGGGGGGGGGCTTGTTTGAATTCAACTCGAGCCTAGGTGCCCACATTGGTTGGACTGGGAAGGCCCAAGGGATGGCCAATGTCCTCATGCATCTCTATATCCCTGCAATCCTGTTGGGTTCGGCAGATGCAAGCACCGGTTTGCGGCTCGGTGTCTCACATGCGAGATCAGGGGAATGTTTGTAGCAGCGCACTAAGTTGAGGTGGCTAAGTTATACAAACAGTGAAATGGGTATGGGTCAAAATACAGCCACTAGGGGATCGCAGGTTTTAGTCTTTGGTTCCATTTACCAGGGTTCCATTTTTGGTACGCATTTTTGACCCACAGCCAAATCAAGGTTTGGGGTGCTTTGTTTTACATTGTGCAAGCGGCAACCCGGATAGGGTCATAGCTGAGTCTTTCAAGCCGGGTCTCTCCAGCGAGCACCAAACCATAGCACATTCAGCTAGCCACCCACCCAAGCACACACGCACGCACGTCAGTCTCGAAATAGGGAGCCCCTTTTTGGAATGGCGCTAGGAAACCGCTTTGAAAGGGCCTCCATTTTGGGAAATACTCCTATGGGCATACAGAAACACCCAGTGTGTGGTAGTATTTTTTGAGCTGGTGGGTTGCTTTGAAGGGACGCAATGCCGCAACAGGAAAGTCGGCCCCATTTTGTGGGTTTGAGATTCATACAAGCTGGTGCCCGCCCGATTTCGCCAGGCAGCCCACTCCGACTGCCACGCAGCGCCACATCAGGAAGCGGGCGAAGTGAAAGTCCCAAGAGCCGCGCTCGTGGACTCTACTTGTCAGGCCCAAGAAAGGCATTGGCAAATTGGGCGCCCTGGGATTGGGTCGGCCCCTCGTAGCAAATGGGCCACAATCAAAGCCTTAGACGAAGGTATGAGGATTCTTTTCACACCAAGTTTTGAGCATGACTGAGACGTGACGTGCAGGGTAGGTTTAGGGTATGTTTGGGGATGGCTTTCGGAGGGTTTAGGGTGGGTGTTGAGTTTAGGGTGTCCCGGGGGGTTGTTAGTTGTGTGTTGGGCGGATTTTGTGATCGAGTTTGGAGGTGGGTTTAATTCGCACTTGCAGGGGTCGCTACTCAACAGACCACTCTGACCACTTGATGCAATAAGCGTCCAACTTGCCTTGCCAGAGCTTCAAGACTCTGCTGATGTCAACGAATTAATAGAAGAAAAACCTCCACAGTCAGCAACACCCCATTGTTCACCCTGCAAATGGTCCCACAAACAAAACATCTCCTTTCAGCTCCTGCGGCCGATCACCTGGATGTCAAAAATGGGGTCAGCCCCAAAGGATGGATGCATTTAGTGCCCGTTGGTTGCCCTTTAGTGTCCCTTTGTTTCCCTCTGGTCTCCTCCCACTGGCCTCACCAACAGCAGACGCATTTGCATGCGTGGCTTGCGGTCAATGGGCTGCACCGGCGCTGAAACCCGACTGAAGTTCCCAAGATGCTTTGGGGTCCACCGAAAAAGAATCGAGCTGTCCCTTTCATTTCCCCCCACCAACCCAGAAAGGGCACCCTCCCAAACGGCACATGGCACACCTAAATGCACCCTCTCGTTCAGTGACGCATGTTTTTCCTCTATGTTTTCCCTTGAGCATGCACAAACAAAACGGGGACCAACAATCATCCCCCCCGACCAATGTCCAAAACCTCCAAGTGCGGTCCAAAGGAAGTTGTTGCGTGCCTCTTGGTCGAGTTCCCCAATAGACTCTTCGCCCTCGGAGGACGGCATCTTCGCCAGCCTGGCGCCCAACGACGCGGTGGTGACGGCCTGGCTGGCGACGCGGCTACAACTAGCACAAGGGATCAGGTGGATGGGGACGTCAGGTTTTGCGAAACATGTGGTTTTTGGTGTGTGCCTGTGTGTGTGTGAGTATTTATGTTTGGGTGTCTTGTTCGTTGTTGCAGGGATTAGATTGCCAATTGTGATAAGGTTGAGTCAGTTTGAAAGAGGTAAAGTAGTGGCCCAGTTTGGCACTGAAAGTTCCAAAGGTGGAGAAGGTCGTCTTCTGGCCGGTGTTGATCCTCCTAAGCTCTTCAAGTCTCAATTTTGAGTCAACTTGGGCTGTGCCTGGCTGATTGCTTGGATCTTGCTTGAGTCTTGCATTGTAGTCAGATCAAAGACCATGGTTGGTCTCAACTTCAAGAGACGAATTCTGTCAAACCGATGTTGCAAGCGCAGCTGCTTCACATTTGAACTTGCCCATAGTGAACGACCTTCTCCTAGATTTTCAAAATAGTGCTGTGATGAGCCATGATCACAGCATTGCCCCAGAACGGCGCTTGGGAGGGGTGTCCCTTGGCAAGGTGGTTTCAGACCTCCGCTTTTCAAGGCGACGGAGCCGGGCCCAGGAATCTTCGAAGGCCCCTCGTTAGCAAGGGACAATCCCGGCCATAAATGGGCCTTCTTAATTCTCTACCTGGTTCTGAGTAGACCATTTTAATATCAGGTTTTGATTGTAACTCAAATGGGCAGAGTCCTAGGCCCTGACCGACGCGCCCGCGGAGATGGGGGGCCTCTTCTTCCAGAAAGGCTCCCACCTCTTGGGCCAGCTGAGCCACACGGTGGACGACCAGGCGAAGTCGCGAAATCGAACTCGAAGTGTCCAGGTAGGCAGAGGGGCGGTGGTGCAATGGTGCTGTGTGCTCTGCATTGGCTGCTTTGGCTGTTTTGGGGCTGCAAAGAACCAATTTGCAAGTATACCAAGAGGTGGGAAGTGTGGCATTAGGGCGTTTTGTGGAAGCGGGTCTTCGAGTTTGTTCGAAATCGAACGGCACGCGTGGTGGCAGCAGCCACAAAAGTTCACCTCATTTTCGTTGTCCACTGTACAAGCTTTCCTACAGGGAGCCCGTACTCGTCGCAGGTGCGGGTGAGGCAGGGCCGGCATTGGATACGAGACAAATCAACATGCGGCAGCTGTTTCCGTTTTGGGACTCCTTTGGACTGTGACGTGCCGGACCCTGCGCTCGCTGCTTGCCTGGAAGGTTGACAATCTCATCGGCTTCCGATGCTGCGAAGAGCCTTTGGAGGAGCTTTCAGATTGCGGTCAGCATTGCCATTCTTGGAGAGCCGTTCTGGCAAAGACTTGTTTTTTGGCGGATACAACGTTTCATTGAACCTGCAAAAGGTTTGCTTGATTTGCCCTGAAAGACTCACTCAGTTGTATTGTCAAGAGTCTTTGTTGAACCGGGGCCTAGATTCGATTGATGATACTGGCTGGCGCAGCTCAAGAGTATTCTGCTTGGGCAAAAACCAGTCGAGCATTTACCCAACAAGCAGCC